TAGAAATAATTAGCTGGACAATTAAATATATATATATAAAATTAGCCGGGCATGGTGGCGCATGCCTGTAGTCCCAGCTACTTGGGAGGCTGAGGCAGAAGGATTGCTTGAGCCCAGGAGTTTGAGGTTGCTGTGAGCTAGGCTGATGCCATGGCACTCTAGCCTAGGCAACAGAGTGAGACTCTGTCTCAAAAAAGAAAATGGATAGGAAGACAGCAAATACAGATACCAAAGCTACAAAGATACAGGCTAAATATTAATACTTTCTAAAACCATCAAAAGAGAATTGTTTGCCTCCAAATAATCCTAATGTAATTAAACCTAGGTGAACTCTATTTTATCATGTAACCTAATACTGGAAGCATTGTCTCCAGTGTTCAATGTGGTACTTTGAAAGCATTCTTGATGGCTGTATAGTGTTTCATTGAATTGCTGTACCATGAGCTTCATTTAAAGTATTTCCTTTTATTAAACATTATTCAACTTAGTCTTTCAACTCTGTATCAACTGTTCTATTTTATCATATCACATAGGGTATGTGTGTATGTTTTATGTATATCTGTGTGTGCATGTCCACTTTTTTGTTAAAGAAGGATTACTAAAAAACTGAAATTTAAAATCAAAAGATAAGGAAATTTAAATTCACTAGTGACCTCTCTTGCTCTGACTTAATCTTGACCTTTCTTCTCTTTTTCCTAAGGCTACACTCCTTTATCAGCATTCAAAAGAAAAGAAAATGCTAGGGAAAATTCTATCCCCTAATCAAATTTTGAATTGCACGTATTGAAGAGACATACACATCATTCCATCGTTGGGGGTGAAGAAGAAAAGTCACTCATTGCACCACCATACCGTAAACCAATCAAATAGTAAATTAGTCCATAAAAAGAAGTCATTTCCTGACCCAATAGGACGCCATAATCCCAGAAGCACTCAAAACTCCAAGGCATTTACCATGTCTGCATCTTATCTGCTGCGTTTTAACTTTGAGAGAGTTCAAGGATTTGGCACAGTGATAAAGAAAACTTATCAAACTTATTCCAATTTATTCCATCAGGATAAAAAACTGAAATAGTTGACATATTATGTTCTATTTCAACAACTAATGAAAACAGCATGTTTTTACATATACATACAAAAAATATTTCCTGGATGATTTACATTTTTCTTTTAATATGACACTATATAATATATTGAGGTATTTGACTATTCTTTTAATGGCTGATTTGAAGGGTAAGTGATGACCTTATCCCGGGTGATCCAGGGGTGATGTAAGCCACAGCGATTGCAATGGAAAGTTCACTTCCAAGGACTTGAAGGAAAGGCAAAGGACAGGAGTGAGAGTGGAGAGACAGAGACAAATAATGAAGCACAATGTAAGATGCCCAGTGGGACGAGAACCAAGTACATGGGGAGTACATGGGCAAGACAGGGGGAGGAGGAGAGGGGAGTGGTGAGAAGTGGCTGGGAATGGTTCCAAGAAGGAAAGGGGCATCACAGGGAAAGCAATGGCTTGGGCAAATGCATGGGAGCAAAAAGCAGCAGACTATATCCAGAAGGGGGAAAAAAATATTTCCTGAATAGAAAGGAAGTCTCATGCACTCATGCAGGGGAGTGGAGGTAAATAAAGCTACAGAAAGAAGCTGGTACAAGATTACGACTTGAGTTGAAGCCACACTTAAGAAATTGAGTATTTAATCTGTATGGAAGCAGTAACATTACGGGGAAATGTGGGAACCTTTAAAAAGAAATACTGTCACATCCCTCCCTTCTAGTGCCTTCCAACGCCACTTTGTTCTCAGAGCCTTCCTGGTTCACCTGTGCCACATACACACCCCCCTTCCCTGTGGACGCTGAACTCAGAGAAGAGCAGGGATATGCAAGTAATATCGACAAATCGCCAATAGGAAAATAAGTACATGTCCTGGATGCTTCAAGAATAAAGCGACTCACGTAGCTTTGCTTTCAAGTCTAGGTTTCAATACAACATCTGTATAATTCATTTAATAAACAGGAAAATAAACAGAATTTTAACCTATATTTCGAAATCACCTTGTCTTGCTGCCTAAGGAAAAATGCAACTTAGAAACAATTCAGCGAAAAAAAAAAAAAGACAGTTTAGTACAGGGGTCCTCAAACTTTTTAAACAGGGGGCCAGTTCACTGTCCCTGAGACCACTGGAGGGCCGAACTATAATTTAAAAAAAAACTATTAACAAATTCCTATGCATACTGCACATACCTTATTTTGAAGTAAAAAAAAAAACAACCGGGCAAAAAACACCCACATGTGGCCTATGGGCCACAGTTTGAGAATGCCTGGTTTAGTATTTACCTTTATATTATAAATGATAAACATATAGTATACATTTAAGATTATTTTTCAACAAAAAAGATTTAGATTACTAATCTTTATAGAAAGATACTACATTCCAATCACCTTTCTTTTATTATGTACACCCTCTACCACCAACCCTCATGTTTTGCTGCTAAACATGGAAAATCCTTTCCCGGGAATGAAGAGGCTGAGTCAAGAAATCCTTGCCAATCCTGTAACTATAGGTTCTGCCACCAATCAGAATGATCTCTACAGTTTCAGGTCATTTTAGTATCAAAGAGTCACTGCATTGCCCTAAAAAGAACAACTTAGAAGTGACTCATCACCCAGCTGCATGGGAGCTACCAGAGGTCCTGGATCAAGTCTGTTTCCCCTTTGCAGTCTTTCTGATAGGAAGTCACATTCCAGCTCCAATAGAGAAATGTTCATTCACCATTAGGGGACACTCATTGTTTTAAGACACAATTTCTCAGATGCTCTAATATAGTTTCTATATTATATGGTAGAGTTTCTACATGCTTCTATATAAAAGAAGTAGAAAAGGAGCTGAGCAGTTAGGGTAGAAAATCCCTAAAAGAACCTGGAATAGTCTGTTCTTGGTGACCATTAAACCCACTGCTCATCATATTTGCATTCCTACAATAATAATACTCATTCTCTCCCCCCTTCACATGCAATGTGGGCACAGAGGCAAAAAGCTAAGCTAGCATTCAAGGGCCCAGTGATAAATATAACATACTCCAGGCCATGGAATATTCTCTGCTGTTCAGTTTGGAAGTTTGTAAAAATCTTTAGCCATCACAAAACTTCTCTGATTTTTCTAATCAATTCTCAAAAATCCCCAGAGGACGTCAGGAGTCTTTAACATACTAGAATGGAAAGTGACACTGTTGCAAAAGCCACAATCGTCAATGCTTCAGAAAGATATTTAACGCCAAACCCGCGAGACTACTTCGTTTAACCAATCCATTTATAAATTCTGCAAGCTATACAGATTGAAATCAGAACTGCTCTCCAAGGAGAAACTCGAGGCCAATTTATGATGGCCCACATCAAAATAAACTTCCTGGGAAAATAAGGACATAAGAGAAAGCAGCTTTTCCTATGAGTTAGTATAGCCATAGCCTGTTCCCTTCAGAGAAGCTGTGCTGGAGACAGGATACCACAAGAAAGGGTGGTGTGTGGGCCAGGCACAGTAGCTCACACCTGTAATCCTAGCACTCTGGGAGGCTGAGGCAGGAGGATTGCTCAAGGTCAGGAGTTCAAAACCAGCCTGAGCAAGACCCTGTCTCTACTAAAATAGAAAAAAATTAATTGGACAAATAAAAATATATAGAAAAAATTAGCAAGGCGTGGTGGTGCATGCCTGTAGTTCCAACTACTTGGGAGGCTAAGGCAGAAGGATTGCTTGAGCCCAGGACTTTGAGGCTTCTGTGAGCTAGGGTGATGCCACAGCACTCTAGCCAGGACAACAGAGTGAGACTCTATCTCAAAAAAAAAAAAAAAAAGAAAGAGTGATGTGCGATAAGTATTAATTACACAGAATTGTCCTTTAATTATCTTGACACTGTGAAAATGGTTTGTACTAGATATAATAAAGTAGGAAAAAGAAGAACTCAACATGATGATGTATGGAAATAAACACAAATATATTTCATTACTTTTATTACTTGAGTCAGAATTCTGCCCCGGATTGGATTTATAGAAACTACTACCATCCTTATCCGATTCCCTACACTCAGGACTTTTTAACAAAACATGGGTAATAAGGGAGGACACTGAGCAAAAGGAAAAAAAATCTGTGGAATATATCTATGTACTCTGATTACTCTGTTTAAAGGAAACAAGAAACTTGAACCCTATCATTTTTCTCTCTTGACAGCATCCTCACAGACGTAGGACCTTAATTAACCATTTCCACCAAAAAAATGGAGAATATTTCAAAGGAAGGCTCTTTACAGAAAACTTCCTTGATTTGGTCCTTTAGAGACAGAAAAAAATAAGGCACTCATGCTTCTGAGACAAAAGACACTTAATGGTCAGTGGTCTGATTTTTAATATGAAGTAACAAAAACTTATTTTTTAAAAAAGGTAAAAAAGGCAACCAGGTTAAATAAAAAGATAAATGTTATATCCAGGAATGGTAAGTAATTGTAAATAAAAGTAGACTGCATCAATACACAACAGAGCAATCTACTTAAGGAGAAAAGGGATGTTTCACCTCACACAGGGTACAATAGGATATAATAAAGTATAATGCACATAGTTTCTTACTCAAAGTGGTCAAATTAATTTAAAGGATTCAAGTTAAAAGTAAAGACAATGCAAAGAAACTTATAGCATGCTAATTCTATAATCTAACAATTTTAAATTAGAAATAAGTCCCAGCTTCTTCTGGAGAACATTAAGATAAATGTCAGGAATGACCAATTTCATCCCATAATACAAAACAGACTATCAGTAACATGGCTAGATGATATGAAGCAAGTCATCACCTCTAAAATCCAAATTCCTTCTGCCTGTAAATTGTATATTACTTATGATCCGCTAATAGTATGTATTCCTACATGGTGAAATTTTTTTTGTCTAACGACCAATTCTTTACAACAGTTTGTTATAACAAACATCTATACAGTGTTTAGATGAAAATGTCACCAGCTCACCTTCATCACTTGCTGCCTGCTGCTTCACAAGAGTCATTGGGGATCGTGCTGGAGGCTTACTGAGTGGATGGCGCCAACTCTTAGAGGTCTTGGTCTCTCCCTCTATTACCTGGTTACGGAATAAAAATGGGAGGGAAACACCCATAAGAAACACCCAAAGAAACAAAAAACTACAGTTCACAATGATTTATGATAACTTAATTATAAAGAAATCTTGTGCTTATTTACCTCTTAGGGAATTAGTCCTTTAAGAAATTTAAACTTGAAGTCAAAAGAAATAGGAATCCATTCTATTAGTATTTTTACTAAGAGGTCAATTAACTCTCCTTCTACTTCATACTGAAATGCTAGCTGTAGTGCAGGGTAAGCTTATCAAACTTGCGACAAGCACAGGATTTAACAAGTTTTCAAAAGTTCCTAAAACTAATCTAACTCTAGGATTACATACTCATAAAAATATAGGACTGTGGCATGTGGTCATCTCTGTGCTGTACCCATGTACGTTTGGCAGGTAACTTTACTTTCTATCCTCACAGAGAAGGCAATCCTGCCAAGGTGAGGCTGTGTACTTCTTTCCATTCAGAAATGAATCACCACTTGTACGTCACATACAAAAAGGATCAAACAAGAAGTCAAAACTATTATTAATATTTTCTAATGATACATTGATGCCATCTTGAAACCACTTAAATTTTATATAAAATGATCTGTCCTGTGCTTTCCATGCTACCTTTTCCTTTCAAAGCTAGAAAGTCACCTTCCAGCTAAGATGTATTTATAAGGTTTCTTGCCCTTGCAGCACCAAATAAAGGGGCAGATGGATCAGAGAGAGTTTGAAGAAAGTGAGTTTACAGCAACAGCTGACTGTGAATAAAAAAGCATTCTTAGGCGTCTTCACCCTGTAAGGTGAAGAAACATGGCCAGACGTGGAGCAACCAGTCTGGCCTCTGACTCTGAAAGAGAACTCTGAGAAAATGGATAAGAACATCTAATCAAAGCCGCTAGCAACAGGAAAAGCAGGACTAAGCAATACAGAATGGAATTTACCTATGCTTATAAAAGCTAAAAATTAATGTAGGCAATTATCAATCAGTCAAAAACAAGAAATATTTGAGACCCAACCCTATTATGTACCACGTTGCTCTAACAGTTGGAGCTACAGATGGAAAAATTATAATACATCAGGTTCCTGCTCTCAAAGAGTATGCATTATAGATGGATAAGGAGATAGATAATAAACAAGTAACAAGTAAAGTTTTATCAGGTACCATTCAGTAAATATACAATGGAGAACAATAAAGGAAGACAAAGGAATAGAACGTGATAGAGAAGGGTCAAGTTTATAGAGGGTAGTCAGAGAAAGCCTTGCAGACACAGTGACATGTGAGTGGAACTTTTATGCATACATATGGCTGTCTAGGGAAGAAGTAGTTGGGTAGCAGGAATAGCATGTAAAGTGAGAACATACTTGCTGTGTTCTAGGCAGAGCATGGAGCCCAAGATGGATGGGCGGATGGATAAGACAGAGTTTAAAATATAACATAATGTTTCTTCAGTGAATTGACTAACACTGGCTGTTAATAGCATACACATAGCTTACCTGGTGTGAAAAAAGAATACTGTGCAGCTCTTTTGAGAAGGGGCAAGCCAAGCCCTTAATATCAGTATTTGCTTTCTCTGCTGTAAGTCTTTGCTTAGGGAAATGATAAAGATGAAGTTCAATGGCACTACCTCTATAATGACCTCCTCTGAAAGCAAGAAAACTGAAAAGTTACTTTCAGCTCTGTTCTGGTTTAAAGAATGTGACTAAATATAATTAAAGCAGGCATTGGACTCGTTCTCCACTCTACAATGAATCCCAATATCTGCTCAGTGACATTTAATCCTGACATGTAATCAGGTTGTAAATTTTTTTTACTGGTACCATTTTCAAATAGTACTGTTTTCAAACTTCTTTTAGGTACCTTTTCAAATAAATCAGGTCTGTTTTTCCATTTTTCATGTTGCTGATAAATATTAATTTTGAGAATAGAATATACAATCCTACATAAAATGATAAACACTATTGGATCATATTAAGAAACTATATTTTATTTGACATTTTAAGACTACTGAGAAACAGAGTATTCAATGTTGCTGACCTTTATGATCTCCCTTGCTACTACGACTCAAGGATACAAACAGGCCAGTGGTGAGCGTGAATGAGCAGGAGCAGTTTGCCTGTTCCACAGCCAGCTGGACTTACTAGCTCACACAATTACTCCTTACTCATCCACTTGAATTCCCTAATCAGGTTCTATAGGTCAAGAACTGAATTCTGACAATCACTACGCATAGTCCTAGCCCACCTGATCTACTCCCAATCTTATGGTTATAGGGAAAGTTTATGATGAAAGTATGTAATATTAACATTGTTAATATTACATCAGAGAAACAGGGGGGTCCTTTCCAAAAAGTCACAACAGGGAACTTGGTAATCTAGAGAGGTCTTGACTTTTCTGACAGGCAAAAGGCTTGTTTCTGAGGGGAGTGGGCAGGCCAGGAAAGGTCATGGTGGTTTGGGATGAGGGTCCATCCCAGAGGAAACTGTGAGCAGGTGAGTCCTAATTGTTCAAAAAGAAGCTGTGGGAAGTCTGGAACACAGAGATACTAAATGTTGACAAGAAGAGGTCAGAGCCAAGCAGGTGAATTCTGCCTAGGCTGGTCACTATTGCAGGTGAAAGAACCGTTATGCATCTTGACAGTATAAATGTCACCATAAGTGTGATTTCATACTACAGTTTTCCAAGATGATAGTATTTGGGCAAACTCAGTAAATAAAGGGTACACAGGATTCATCTGTAGTATTTCCTACAATTGCATATAAACCTACGATTATCTCGACACAAACAGCTTCATTTTTTTAAAAAGGAAAAAGAATATTAAGCTTCAACATGTGGCCAAAAGCTCCATGTTCTGAATTATCACTGTGTGAGTCACAGCTTACAGAAGGCTTACCTCCCAGACACTGAAGGAATATGATTAAGACCCATAAATGTAACATGTTATTTATTTGTGCCCTAAAACAAGATTCTGCTGCACAGCATGTTGTTTTCAGAAAGCGCTCTCACCATACAATGAGTAGAGTAACAATGAATATTGCCACATACGCTGGGGACTTTGAAGCCATTTCTCTCTTCACTGGGGACCGCTGGGATTTCCCCAGGTTCAAGGCCACTCCCGCGGCTCTCCACATCACTCTCTTCTCCCTCTGTTAACACACCATTACTCTCTGCCACTGAGGAACATGACTCAGGTGACTTTGGCCATGAAAGCTTGGACGGATATGATTCCTTGGACGTCACGTGGCCACTAGATAATGGCATGGCATTGCTAGCCTCACTGGTGTTGGAAGGTGCACTTATGGCATAGGCTTTGTCATCGTCAGTTTTAATTTCTTCTCGTATAGATGCATTTAAGCACATGTTTCCTGGAGAACAGAACAAAAGACTGCTAATAAATCTTTCATTGTACTATTACTGGTAGAATTGTTAAACGACTCACAAGTCACTTTGTATCTTGTAATTTCCCCCTCTAAACTTCAACAAACATGATGGTGAAAGGTCACCAAATCAACAGCCTGCCTTCATATTTGTTAAAGTGAGATCATGGACTTCAGGAAAGGAAAATACTTAATGATAAAACAAAGGATTAAAATGAGGTTCTACTACAGACCAACAGCAAAAGGTAAGGCAATTATAATAACTCTCCAAAGCAATAGTAATTTGAAATCTAAAATCTATCTAAAAATCTATCTAAAATCTATCTAAAATCTAAATCTAAAATCTATCTAAAAATCTATCTAAAAATAAGAATTATATCCCAATACATAATTCCAAGAGCTGCTACTGATGAAACATTCTAACTCAGAGGATGTATGTAAATGATATACATGAGGCTGTACACTAATCTATTATCACACAGTGACAGCATGTCACAAGAGAACACTACAAAGCACTTCTCTTCCCCTGCCATCTCTATTCACCTTTTTTGTTTATACATGTGCACATGGACGCACAAACATGCAACACAAAACAAGCATCCTTTCTACCCATTGCTAGGTCTGATGCTTAACCCAGCCAAGTCTTCTACTCAAGTGCTCTGACAGGCCTCAAAACCTGAAGACCAAAATGTAAAGAACCACATACTGATATAACTAATGAAATCGGGTACCCTTGGCCAAAACCATCCAGCAATTCAGAGAGTAGCCAATTAAACCTAGAAACCATGATGAGAGACTATAATGAAATATCCGTATGTACTACATAACTGTCTTCTCTGCATTTGTTATAATTCCCTTCCCTACCTTCTCCACCTTTCTATCCTGTATCAAAATTAAATTCAGGCTGGGCGTGGTGGCTTAATCCTGTAATCCTAGCACTCTGGGAGGCCGAGGCGGGTTGATCCCTCTAGGTCAGGAGTTCGAAACCAGCCTGAGCAAGAGCGAGACCCCGTCTCTACTAAAAATAGAAAGAAATTAATTGGCCAATTAAAAATATATAGAAAAAATTAGCCGGGCATGGTGGCGCATGCCTGTAGTCCCAGCTACTTGGGAGGCTGAGGCAAGAGGATCGCCTGAGCCCAGAAGTTTGAGGTTGCTGTGAGCTAGGCTGACGCCACGGCACTCACTCTATCTAGCCTGGGCAATAGAGTGAGAATCTGTCTCAAAAAAAAAATTAAAGCCAGATACCACCATTGCCAAGAAACCTTGCCTACCTGGCTCCTATCTGTTTGGGATCCTTTCCTGGCTGACCAGGAACACCATATGTCAGCTCTATCATGCTATTTATCACACTAGATTGTACTTACATGTTTAATTGTCTAGCTGTCCACCAAAGTATGAAGTCATTGGAAAAAAGGTTGCTATTAAACTCTATTTACACAGATATTTCAATATCAAAAGTAATAAGGCTGGAGAAGCAGCCAGGGACCAGTTTATTTAGGATTATATAAGAACTTTTTATTTTATTCTTGGTGGGATAATACTAAGAAGACAGCAGGAACAAAACCTAAGCTTTTTTTTTTTAAGGATCATTATGATGGCCATATGGACAACTGACTAGCAGAAGGAACTGCAGAGGATACTGGCATGCCAGAAGGATGCCACTTCTCCAACAGCCCAGGCAAGAGATATGGTGATATGGTAAGTAAGGAGAAAGCAGGGGAGGGAGTCAGATTCAGGGATCCAAGGGAGTCCTGCAATTGAAGGGTTTGCACAGGATGAGGAGTATGAAGGGAAGACAGGGAAGAAGACAGTATGAAGGGAAGCTCATTTATTACAAGAAAAAAAACTCCAACAAATATTAAAGAGGCAAGGCATTAAGCATAGTTTCAAAGAACTATGCTATAAAAGGGAAAAAGGGCAGAGTAGCTGAGACTTCTAGATGATGGCTTTAACACAGAGGAGCGGCCAGGGGCACTATACATCCCATTTCACTAGGCTGACTTTTTATTTTTGTTGTTCTTTTTAAAACCTCAATCTTTATTTTATTCTTAAATTAAGTCAAAAGCTAAGAAACTACAAAGAATTATCTATAATTGGTTTTCTCTGCTCCATGTGAATTCAAGAGAAGCTTTCCAAAAATGTATTATATATTGTAAATTGAGTTGCACTAAAAAAAAAATTTCATTTTATAATCTTCTATTTTATTACACCAAAAAGGTATTGCTAGCTGTTTGTCTCACAACTCTGTTCAACATAGCAGCAGTGCTCCTGACTTATAAAACATTCCCTTGGCCTCTTGCTCAGAGTTACCCTGTAACTTTAGGTAGCTAAATTGGTTAAGCTATGTGGACTAGCAAGATATTTTTCCTAGTGAAGCTAGATTTAGGGCATTTGATCATCAACTATCCACAACTCAGCCATTTTCTCACCTGAGAGTTTGATATTATCTAATAATTTCTGATCCACCTGCATCCTCCTAGCAGAGTTCTCTTCTTCTGACAGTGCTGCTGTATTCCCCAGCTTAGCTGCTGCTTCTGGCTTTTCACTGACCTGGAGGTCATCAGTACCTGAGTCGTGGTTAGGGACGTCTGCCCCACCAACTTCAGCTGACTCTTCCTCATCCTCCTCGGCCTTGGGCCTTTTAGAGTGAGACCTAGTACACTGGAAGCTATTAACAAGAGAAGCGGTAGTCAGAGCAGAATGTTTGCAACAGATATGAAAAAACATACTAGTACAAATGTTATTTTCACTTGCTTAAAGGAGGAAAAAAACTGTTAGTTTTTTAATCACTATGCCAAAATAATCTTCCCAATTGATGGATTAAATTTTAAAGCAAAATCTCAATAACAATTTACTAAACATTAAAATTCAAAAAACTCTAAATAATTGATTATTAAACATTGTTGTGGAATAGAGTCACTACTAACATCTTATATCAACTTATTATTTTCAGAGAGGACACTATTGTTATTTTCTTCCTCTTTTAGTATTTTTCAGCAAGTCATTTGATAACTTCGTCATACATGCTTTATATATATGAAACAACATTTCTAACAATTAGAAACAATCACAAATCAATTCAAAGCAACAGTGGCTAAAACACACACAGACACACACACACACACACACACACACACACAAAGACTAAGCATTGTAGGATGTCAGGGAAGGCAAAGATAGGAAAGAAAGGGGCTAGCCAGGTATAAACTATAGAAATCAGCTTTGACTGCTGCCAATGACAGTTAACAGTAGCAGTATCCATCATTATCATCATCATTCTATTTATTTCAAACCCATCAGTGGCTGATGTGGAAAAATCTCAACCTTACGAACAGCATAGTACATGTAAAATAAGATGGTAGATCTCTCTTTGAGATTTCAGTGAATCATTCCATTGGTTAGACTTCCCTGAATAGGGTTATCACTGACGGAAGATCAGCAATCTCTAAAATCAAGCCACGGGGCTGACTATATTACAAGAGCAACTAAACGTGAGGCCTTCTAACTAGGTAAACAAACTCCATTGATTATTTTAACCTACTGACAGGAATTTCCAATCTGATAAATGTCAAGGATTTTAGGTTCTTTTATCAACTCCAAAGGCCTAAAGTGGTTAATAACTAGGAGACCAGAACATATACCTCATTAGAGTGTAGTGTTTTCCATTAGAGAACAAGTCTCAAGATTTTATTGGTGTGTCTTCTGAACTCAGGATTGAATACTATCTCCTTCCAAAGCTGGTTTTTGTTGTTTTATGGTAATGAGGATTAATGCATGTATCAAAGGCACTGACTCTCTAAATTGGTATTTCTCAAACGTTTTTTGGAATGTAATCCACAGTGAGTCAAACATTTAAAAACAGACACAACAGATACACATACACTCACACGTCATCAGTTAATACTCACCCTTACCAGAAAGGAAGCACTACAGTACTTTTTATTCTATCTAACTTCCTAATTTTAAAATGATGGTCCTGACTTACTAAATTGATTTGAAAACTGACACTTTGAAATTTCAGCTGCAAACTATAGAAAGAAATACCAACATCTAAGTTTTGATTCTGCTCCTAACTAGCATGATCTCTCAAGTATCTCTCTTGAGAAGAATGCGGAAGTTTGACTCTGTTCTTAAAGTGCTTCTGCTCACTACCATTCTAAAATAGCAGAAAATAAGTGTCAGGGGAAAAAGAGAGAGAGAGTCAGAAAATAAAACGTCAGAAGTGTGGGAAAAGAGTTAAAAATACAGTGTTATTTAGTTGATAGTTAAAAAGTGGAAACAAGCTACAGGTCCAAACACAGGGGATTAGCTAAATACATGCAGGAATCAAAAAGTATATTGTAGTAAATCATTTAATTACATGAAAACACGCATATAACTGGTCATCAAATTGTTAATAGAGCATGGCCCCAATTTTGGAAAGGTATATATTATTGTATAACATATAAATAAATATATATGTAAAGGATATATACAAAATGTTAACACTGGTTATCTCTGGATAGTGAGGTTATGGGTGATTTAGGATTCCTTCATTATTCTTTTCCTTATTTTACAAATTTTCTCCAATGGACAAATATTACTTTTACAATCTGAAAGAAAAACAATGAGTAATATTGAAGAGGAAATTTTAATATAAAATTGGAAAATATAAGAGCCTTTAAAGGAAGCCTAAGAACCTGAGCAACACAACACATACCATATTCTATGAGTTTTAAAGCAGCAAGATGCCCACAGCAGACCTAAAAGCTTTTGAAATGGCCCTGGCCACAGAAATGGAATGGAGAATAAAGTTAACAAGAACAAAAATGTTACAGAAACACTACATGCTCTGCTTTACATCTTACAGAAGAATAAAACCAAGTTATAAAATGTTAAAAAAATAAGCATCCAGATGTATTATTTCAGGTGTTTGAAAAATGAAGATAACAACTAAAGTCAGAAAGAAAACTGGTAGCAATATGAAAAAGTTAGAAATCAAGTCACTGAAGTTGATTAGAATATAGAGATGAATGAAGAGGACCAATTCAACTACATAATACATTAATGAAAGTAGTCAAAGAAATTCTATATTGTTGTATTTGCCATGTATAGCAACTTCAGGAATATTCTCAAACAAAATAATATACATCTCTTCCTTTATTTATTATACATGGAAGAATTAAAAACACTTTATCTTAAATTTTCAGGAAGATATTAAGTAAACATACGATGACTAAATAGGAAAAGCAAATAAACAGCCTTTGAGACATGTTCAACGACCCATTCATTTTCATTTAGTAAATAAGACAAGTAGGATGGAGGTAGAAGAATCATTACCTTCTAGATGCTTTTCTTACTTTCCTCCTCCTCTGCAGCCATGCTTTCACTTCAGGGGTGGATTCTGGAGTGGGCTTCGTGTGATCAATGGTGTAGATATCCTTTCCTTGTTTCCAAAGCTGATATCTGTCTGGCTGAAATTTCCTCACAAAGATATCCATTGAAATTTTCACCATGTCTTTCCTGCAAGTGCACTGAAACATAATGGGGTTGGAGTACATTAAACGTTTTGCCAGCGATAGCAAGTCACACAGGCTTGACACGTGCACATGAATTTTTAGTCACTACATAATTGAGAATAATCGTTTAAATTTTCAAACATTCTGTGAATGATAAACCCAACGTCTTCTGAATGGAGGTGAGAACCTATGTATTCACAATTATAAATGGGAAAATACGATGTGAACATGCTTTGTGCACCTCACAGGGAATGAGGCACAAAGAAGAACTAAAAAGAAAGAGCAAGTACTTTGGAAGCATGCCTATAAGGGGACTGCCCTCCCATCACAAGTGTGTGTCAATGAGCTGAGCACTGAAAGGTCTGCAAAGCTGAAAACCTGAGTTGTCAACAAATACAAGAACTCAATGAATGTGTGATTAGAATAATTCAACCAAAGAGTTGACACAAATTTACTCTGAGATATATTTTAAGTATATTTAGGTTTATTAACAAATAAACTCCATAAGGTAACCAAAAATTAGGACCAAATGGACAGCCTCTTCTATTAATAAATCATGTCACATATAACATCCAACATCATCAACAACAACATAACCATATCCACTGGAGAAAAAGTACAGGGTTAAGGTGGGAAGCTAAATAAAAGACTATTTTGATTCACTATGAACTTGATTCTCATGAATGCATCGTTATCAGTAACATCTTATAAAACAAGTTTCCCCTAGCACAGGCACAAAAGTGAGACTCTGTCTCAAAAGATAGATAGATAGATAGATAGATAGATAGATAGATAGATAGATAGATAGATAGATAGATAGATAAAACAAGTTTCCCAGAAAGTCTTCACACAAGGTTTAATTAGGTCTAGGCCAACACTATGCATCAAGGTAGGTATCATTTAAATGGTGGTACATAAATAGTGTAGAAGATTTAACTGACATACCGTGACAATCCCTAACACACCTGGACACAGACTGGTTAACTGAGCAGCCTTGACACAGTAAGATTCTCAATATCTGGGCAACATAACTATCACCTCCAATAATTAATTCCAAAGTCTTAATAATCTGCAGTCCCAAACTCCCTCCATAGAGTTCAAATTTGAATGGGCATTACACTCAAAATAACTAAAACTAACTTCTTCAACTGCAAACAACATTCTGTGCACTCTCAATGATACCACAATTGTTCCATTGTTTAACATTCATCATCTACATTTTCTAGTCCATCCTTACTCTTCCACCCCTAGAAATTCAGCCTGTTCCTATTTACAATTAATTCTTCCTCTACAATGCCTCCTTCAATTCCTTCTGCCGGCATCCTCTGAGCTTCACTGTCAGACCTTGGATCCTAGCATAACAGAACTATGTAACTGCACTGCCTATAGTCTCTCCTAGCATAAATCCATCTTTATAACTGTTAATCTCCCTCAAATATCTTGTAATCTTTCGTTTCTGAGTTCAATAAGGTGTAATCCTCCTGCTCTGCCTTTAGAATAGCAGCTAAACTCATGATCCTAACAGTGAAGAGTTCCAAGATTTAACTCCACCAGTGAGATTTTCAGGTCTCTCTTCCACTGCAAGTCAACATGAATATTCTTCTTCATCATGTCACGGGAACCCAAATGCACTACATACTTCATTACCTCTGTACTTTTTGTTGCTACCACAACAACTTCATGCACACCCATCTGCTACCCAAAGAAAATCCACCCTCAACTCTGAATGTAAATTGTACCAACTGTTCTTCTGAACTCAATATCATTTATCTATACTACTGCATTCTATTATTAGTTATGTATAGTGAGAGTACTAAGTTATACTGCTATAATTAGCTTGCCTTGGGAAGACGGAAAATGAGGATTCTGAGAAATTGAAAGATGTTTTGGTTTAAGATGCAATCTTCTGTCTAAAAGGACAAAAATAATAGTTTGGACTCATCACCACGAACTTTCTTATTTTCTTACAGTGTTACTAATTTTGCTTCATGAAGAAAAATGAAATAGTGATGCTCCCGCCTTTAATGAGCTAATTTGGTCTGAGCATGATTACAGGTGTAAGATCCCTAGAAGAGATGGGCTGGTGAGGTACTGAACATTATTTCTGAGGAAAATGTCTTGGAAAAATAAAAAAACTTTAAATTAATGCTCATCTTGTTTGCTCAGATGGTGCTATGAAACCTAATTTGTGTACATTTGGATTCCACATTTTAAATAAGCTACAGAACTCAGTAGGAACAGCAGGCAAGCCATGGTCAAACAGGAGTGTGCTCAAAGACTGTGCCAATGGTGTAGCTGGATGATCTTTTCCTCAATAGATTAGGCGGGTGACTCACGGATCCAATCAAACAGCTCAACAGAAGCCAGAAATACAGATGTGGTTATCCAGGAGAGCTCTGTGTAGTGCCTAAAAGACTGGATGCAAATGTCAAGTTCAACACAGACTACCTGTATAACCTCGAGCAACTCATTTCACCTTGCTGTGCCTCAATTCCCCCTATGAGAAAAAATGGGAATAACAATGGTTACTATCTTTATGGGGCTGGTACAAGGACTAAACGTTTTGTACTTGTATTATAAAACACTGCTACAGGCCACAGATAAAGGCCTATTCTTAAAAAATAAGATATGCCTTATATACCTTGCTTTATGGTAGTCTGACCACAAGAACATAGAGCTTCCTAGTGTTATTGTATTTTGCTGTACTGAAATGGTTGAAGTGAGAAAGGAAGTAAGAATCAGAATGCTGTGGTTAACAAAATGGCCTGAGGGTCAAGGATTTTTGGTTTTGAAGAATAAATAGGAAAATTGCTCATCTCATAACTCATCTCTCAATCCTGGGGATTGAGAGATACTGTAAGAGGACTCAGCACTTTCTGGGGCAAGACAGTCTCAGTGCACATCCAGTTCCTGTTTGGAGCATATGTTGAAACCAGACTCAACTCCTTGGCTTCCCATCTTGAATATATCATATGTCATAAAGGGAAGAGAATAAATGTTCAAACTTTAATAGGAATTATTCACTCTCTTAGAAACTAGTAATTGCTCAACAATTATGAAAAGAACCCAATGAATTAGACTTACTGAACAGGACACACAGGAAGAGCCAATGAGGAATACTCTTAAACATTTAAAAATGTCCAAATGAAACACATATTGTTGTCTTCTGGCATGGCATGAGTAGTTGGTGTGTCTTTAAACTGATCCTAACTTATCCCAACCTTTCAACCTAAGATACTATCCTTTGGAATAACCACTATATTACAGTCATTAAATATGCAATGTCTCATTTCTAATCAAAGATGTAATTTATTATATCTCAAATAAGAAGCAGTACAATTACTCCCAGGATGTAGCAGTATTGAAACAAATGAAATACCATAAATATTATTGAAAAAATTGTTGTTCCTTAAATGTCCAGGAGATAATTAATAATGAATATATAAGTATTTAATATACTGATTAACTAGACATATGTAAACATATATAATTAACACTTATAAAATTGATTTATTTCATCTATATACTTATAAAATGTTTGTTCATTCACACATGTACCATCTTACATAAATTTAGAAGAAAATTATTATAATAATCTTAATATAAAAGAATTATTTTAACATAACAAACTGAATTTTAAAACTATAGATCTAATTTAGGTGAAAAAAATAATATTTGAATAGCATTTTGGTTCCCCAGGTTGCATTTCATATAATATTAGTCAAAGACAAATAATAGACATGAAAAGTAAACTATTGGCGGGGCGCGGTGGCTCACGCCTGTAATCCTAGCACTTTGGGAGGCCGAGGCGGGCGGATTGCTCAAGGTCAGGAGTTCGAAACCAGCCTGAGCGAGACCCCGTCTCTACCAAAAATAGAAATAAATTAATTGACCAACTAAAAATATATATACAAAAAATTAGCCGGGCATGGTGGCGCATGCCTGTAGTCCCAGCTACTCGGGAGGCTGAGGCAGTAGGATCTCTGAGCCCCGGAGATTGAGGTTGCTGTGAGCCAGGCTGACGCCACGGCACTCACTCTAGCCTGGGCAACAAAGTGAGACTCTGTCTCAAAAAAAAAAAAAAAAGAAAGAAAAGTAAACTACAGAATTACATTTATACTGACTGAGCAGGGAGAAAAAAGAAATACAATTCTAAGATCAATATTAATCAACAAAGTCAGTATATAAAGAGTGCAAAGGCCGGTTCCTTTTACCCTTATATCCATTAATGAAGCCAGGTGGGCAGAAGGCCTAAATACCCCACCTCTCCCCGGACTGGTCTACAGAGCCCAAAACCCCTGACTTTCTCACGGTGCACAATGCATTTGAAGACTCCTAAGAGTCCCAGAATAGGGACCTGAGAATATTTCTAAAATTCTGAGTTATGTTCTTACAGACTTTAAGAAGAACATAGATTTGTTAAATTTCCCTAAAGGATAAAAGATATTTCACATAGCAATAGTAAAAAAGTATGATTCCAGAACTGAATTTCTTATTCTAATTTTAAAAAACCATTATTATGAGTTATTTCAGATATTTTGCCCTATCTGACTTTCACATACCACTCTATTTTTAAACCACAAAAATACACACTATGTCTGTCTTATGGAGAAGTATATTCTAGGTGCCTATAGAATAAGAGGCCCTTAAAAATATTTGTTACATAAACTTTTGTCAAAACACATGAGGAAACAGAGAGAGGCTCAGAGGATTTACATTAATTATCCTGAAGTCATACCCCTAATAGGTAATGCAGTCTTTTCCTGATTCAAATCTAGCACTTCTATACTCTTACCTACTCTACTGTGGAAATTCCAAAACTAAAATATGTTAAATATATTTAAGATATTTTATAATATAAACGTGGGCCAAATTTTTCCATCTTGAATTTCTTTATCTATGACCCATACCAAAATTGAAATAGTAGCCAAAAACAAATGTCTGGGGCTCACTACATTTGCTTTCTAGGCACAGGATCATGCTGTATTGATAGGAGTTTAACCAACCTAGCTAAC